GCAAAGAAAGAAAGGGGGAAGGGAAGGGGGAGAAGGGGGCTAAGGTCGCGACAGGTTCCAATGAACCTTGAACAAACTTCGGTCGCTGCGACCACGTACGGCTTGCCCAGGGGCTGCCATCTTTGACCGCTACCGTCACGTAAAGGCACGAGCCAGCTTAGAATTCCAAAGATGGGACAAAATTATCGTACGTACGGCCTAGGCCACCTACGCTCGCTGCGAGCTGCTCTGTATCCGGGCAGTGGATACGTTCGACGTACACCCATTCGACGGGTCCACGGGAGGCACTCTGCGGGCTCATCCCGGGTTGGCACGAGGCCAAACACAATTAGGATAGGGTGTACTGAACTGAAAGCGGTGCCACACGCCGGCCTGGGTTCCAATTCCTAAGGGAACAAGTACGAACCACGGGAACCTGGAGGACTTTAAGAGGAAAGAAGGCCCAAAGCGGAAGAAACCTATCGACGATCGCGGATCGAGCAGGCTGACGACGTTCGTTCATGTCTGCCGAGCGCATTAGCCCTTTACCAAAGGTTTAAAAATTGTGCAGGTACAAGTGGTTGGTCAGACCACTCATCCGCCGAAATGCCATAGCTTCGTTGGACTGGATAGGCAAATCGGCTCCAGTCCCCCTGCTACACAAGGAAAACAACTGTGAAGCGAAAACAATCCGAAAGGATCCCTATGATTCCAAGGGTTACACACACACACACACACGCCCCCCCGAGGGGAGGCGAAAAACTAAAGGTTAAGGCGAATGTGCACATGCGCGCGCAACGCGGACAAAAAGATTAAGACATGAAAAGAGGACAAGACAAGACAAAGGTGTGTGTGTGTGTGCGCCAACGCCTGTTTCCAAATTTTCATTCCACCCTTTACGACTGTTTTAATCCTTGTACTTTCGGATACGTCTCAAAGAGATTCTTTGATAGCAGCAGGGGATAGCGGCAGATCATTTGGGACCGCTACCAACGAAGACGCTCATTTGATCTGGTGACATCAGAGTTGGCCACTCTGACGTACCTGCGGGACATGTTTAACTCACTGCTCGGTATACCAAGGGTTACACAACATTGTTCAAAAATCTCCAAATCCGCGGACCTCTTCACCTTTCTGTTTGCATTCCTTTTCAGTCAAGGTCTAATGCGCCTAAAGTGGAACTTCATACTGGTATGAGCTCTTGCGAGCAACAATCTAAGTGTGTTTTCGCCACAGGGTCCCAGTGAGGGCTGTGGTGTGATCCCCGTCAAGAGGCGCCGCATGTGCACAGACCCAGACCCTGGGGGATTTACTCTCAAAGTGCCGCAGGGCTTACTGAGATCAACTCCAGTTCGGAATTTTCCACTCGTTCATGTACATGCCATTTTCACGCCGCTAAGTAATCAAGCAGGGTACATGCATGACCAAATCACACATTTTTGCTGTCTTGTATTCTTCTGATCCATTTCCACCGGGACGCCATGAACGAGAATGGTTGCCACACTCCTTGTTGAGGGTCCCATTGGGGAGTGTTGGCTGCGGCGGCGATTGGTGGGACGGTGGTGCAGCAGGAGCCTGAGTGGGGTGTGGTGGAGTAGTGGCTGGAGGCAGGCGTGTGCGTGGGCTCTGCTCGTGGCAAGGTGCAGGGGAGCGGGTATGTTGGAGGAGGGTGGAACGCTGGAGGTAATGTTGGCTGTGGAGCAGGAAGGTGGACAATAGGTTGCCAAGTTGGTTAAGTGAAATGTGGCATAGTGGTCTGTGTGGGTGGCATCGTAGGATGGAGATGTGGCTGTGCTTGCGGAACTGGAAAAGTCGGTGGTGCTGTTGGAGGTGGTGGCTGTGTGTGGTATGGGTATGGCCAAGGATACTGCAAGTCAGCTGAGACTGCTGTGGCGTCGAATGTGGACCGTTGCTCAATGGTACCAGCGCGGCGGCAGCGGACAGACTCTAGCCACTGATACCTGTGGAATGAAATTGCGAAAAATGGTGGAGTGACACCTGTGGAAAACCTTGTATGATAGTGAAAGTGAACATGATTGAAAGTGAACATGGTGAATCTCACAGTAAGTGTGGTCGAACGTCCTAACTGTACATCCTGGAAGTCGAAAACTCGGCTGCGAGTGGAATTCTGAATGACAATCTGAGTGTAAGTCAGTAAGGGAAAATTTGGGTAAATGCCCGGCGGCTTTTTATTCAGACAATTCAGTAGTGAAACCGAGTCCGTTAAGAGAATCCAACGAACGGTGGAAACGATAAAAGCTGTTAGTGAAAATCCGGCATGAATTCAGCGCCCCAGTGACGGGGACCACACCCAGGACCCAAGTGGGACGGCTGAGCGGTTCACACTCTGACATTGGTTTTCAGTTAACTCAATTCCCCAGTCGAGAAGGAAGGTGGGGGAAACGCAAGGCGAAAAGGTCAGCGCAACTGAAATGTTTAACGCATTGTTCACTTGTCTGCAGTTCATGAACCCGCAGCAGTTGAAAATGGCGGAGGGAAAATGGTTAGTGGGGAGTAGCGTGAAGAACCATGGAAGCAAACAAGATCAATTGGACAGCTTGCTCAACCGTTAAAGCAGGTACACAGTGGAGCGTCCTCCACTGCTTCAGCACCTACTGGCACCCTCTTCGTTGGACGGGCAGTGCTAGTGGTGTCCCGTCCCCCTGCATTGCAAAGTGGAGCGGTGGTCAGAGTCCCTTGGAAACAGGGTTTGACACACACACACACACCAGCAGCGGGGGAAACCCTGACACACTGCCATGAAAGAACATAAACTCAGAATCCCAGATTGTGTTCAGCATGCTACTTGTACATCCAGCTCCGTCAGGCTTACAGCTGCGTTGCTGACTCGAACGCAGGGGGCGCGGCCCTAGCGCCCGTTGGCTCAGCAATCAGCTGCTCTGCTCGACGGCTTGTGGATTTCAATCCAAGCGACGCCACTGCCCGGCGACTGGTTGGCGCAGGCTGTGGCGAGCCAGCAGTGGCCGCATTCGGATTGACGAATGCATATGAGCACAGCGCCATGGCTCGTTTAGGCCCACACGTTGAAAGGGACGATTTTGGTGTCCTGTGTTGGGGGGAAAGGGCGTGAGGAGACAGCCAACAAGTAATCAGCTAAGGGCTAAGAAGCTAGCAGCTATTAAGTACACCACGACTACTTAGGACTTAGGACGCGGTCTCTGGACAGTCTTCTTCAAGGAAACACCCCCTGACCTGATCTTTTTTGGACAACTTGTAGTTTTTTCCCAAAGAGTTTCACGCGATGGTTGAGAAGGAACATTTTGACATTGATGAACAATTTTTTGAGATCTATTGACATACTGCGCTAGTTTCTAGTCGGCTGCCCAACAGATGTGCCATGTCGAGCCTAATCGTTCCCAAGGTTGCGCAACTGTGGCGGATACGGAAATTTGCATCTGCCATTGCAACTTTGGTTGGGCTTTGAGCGGAGATGCTTCCCTGCTGACATGCCAAGACGGAGTGCTGACAGGGAGTCTGCCGAGCTGCTCTCCTGTGGCTTGTACTTACAACCTGCCAAGCGCATTGGGAGTTACACACAATTGTTCTGGCGTCGCTTGGATTGAAACATCCTCAGAGATTTGACCAAATTGATTCAATTGACATGTTGAATGCAAGACACGGTCACTTCAGGTTTTGGACATTTCAATTTTCAAGGATCCAGAAAGGCAACTTTCTGGACAAGTTGTGTCCTCTTAGGTCACCACAGGAGGGAGTTGTTCAGCAACATGTGGGGCCCCTGGTTTTGCCAACAGCGGGTCTGGGCCAGAAGTCTTCGAGTGCCTAGCAACAGGAGAATTCCAAGGACAGGACCCCAGCTGCGCTCCTGCACCATGTGAGAATTTGACGCTGGCATCCCAATTTGAGCACAATTGTCGCGGCATGGTTTTCCAAGATGCGTGTGCTGTTTCTTGCGCAGAAGGCTACTCGCTCACTGGGCCTCCTTCGCAGTACATTTGTGGGGCAAACGCAATCGTTGAGGGCGCATTGCCAACCTGCGCGGCAAACCCTTGCTCTCATACCATGTCCGGGGAAGTTTTTCAGTCCGATTCTTGCAATGGTGTGACTACGGGTAGCTCTTGCACCGTTTCTTGCCAGCAAGGCATGATTCCAAATTCAGGAGAGATGACTTGTCATTCCAGCGGTTTGTTGGTGGGAACGCTTCCTCTCTGCCTACCTGCTCAATGTCCACAGACCCCGGCCCTTGGAGCACCGGCCGTAGCTCACAACTGCGAAAACGCATCCTTTGGGCAAAGTTGCAGCGTCTACTGTGCCACCGGTTACAAACTGACGCAAGGAGAACACGGACCGGAAACGTTTGTGAATAGAAACAACACACGCATAGTAGTAAGTAACTACGGAATATTTCGATTCGATGATAGATTTGTCCGGTACCGCAGCGCAATTTTTCGTAGCAACTCGACACGGACCTTAGGGCAAGTGCGACAGTTAAGTTTATCGGGTGACAATCAAATTCGGCGTTGCTGGCTTTCGCGTTTTCAATCACTCTGGTGACTTCCCACCAGTTGCCGCCAGGAAAAGGGGAACTTTGGCACTGCGACCTGGTGAATGGAAGCCTTGCTCTGACAGGCTCCTTACCCACTTGTGAGGCACAGTGTGTTTCAGAACGCGGGGGTGATTCAGTCATATTATTGAGCTATACTTTAAAAAATATATATCTATATATTTATATGCTTGCCGCTTGAGTATCCCCGACAGAGCCTGCGAAGGGTTCTCAGTAAAGAACGGCTACCAACTTTAAGTGTCTAACTGTCATCATCATCATCATCATCACCATCATCATCATGATCTTTCCGGACGCTCTGCATCTAGCAGATTGCGTGGGCCTGTCCCTTTGGAGCCCTTTCAGCTCATGCTTCGAGAAGCTTGCGCAGGTCAAAACGCACCGTCCAGAGGCTCAGCCTGTTGTCTCTTAGCTTGAGTCTTTCCAGAACAGGCGCAAGGAGGCAAAATGCATGGGCATCGATATGCATCCCAACTACCTTTATAGTAAAGTTAAAAATAACATGCGCAAATACGGGAAGGCTCGGCCTTGTTGAAAGGCCTGCGTGACGCCGCTACTCAGCTGCTCAGCACGGTTCAGTAGGTCACCATGGCACTCCTCCAAGGGCAGCAGCATGTTGGGCGGCCAGCAGCTGCGCAGCAGGCATTCCTTGACCAAGCGGCGGCGCAAGTCAGGGCACTCCGCCAGGGGCATGATGTCGCGGCAGTCCAACACGCGCGCCCATACCTCAGCCCAGTATACCTTGGATTGCTCGCCATCTGGTCTTGAGTGAGTTGAGAGGCTCAAGCGGTAGCGCGCGAAGTCGACCACGTCACGCTGCTAGAAATTTCCACCCCTGCAACATATTGGAAAGCAGAGCCAAGGCTTGCGCCTCTGGATCAACCAGCAGGGTTTGAAAGATATCAGGCGAAAGGGCTCAATCTTTGGGTCGCGATGCTCATAAACAGCCGTGCTCATGTAGCATAAGTTCAGTGCCGCTCAAAGATCTGTCAGCAGCCGTCCCAGATGTTGAGCCAAGGGGCTGCGTTCAGCCGTGGCCACACGCAGCAAGCGCCTACATTCAGGCGCCATGGGATGACGCTCGAGCCGGGGCTTTTTCCTTGCTGTGTCTGCAACAAGGTCAGCATTGCGTCGTCTCGACGGCTTGTCCTTTGTGCTCTGTGCAGATCACCTGCTTGGTGTGTGCGACCGTCTTCATGACTGCAGCTTCCGCAAAAACGATGGGGCCCGTCTCTATATAGGAGCCTGTCCTTTTGCCGAAGAGCCGAAGAACCAGTCTGCTTAGCACTTGAAGAAGGTTTTTCTGATCTTGGCGGCGGTCTTCTTCCTTTTGTTGAATCTTCTCTTTGCCCGGCTTTCCTTTTCAATTCCTTTTCCCTGGCCCTTCGCGTCGTTCAACGTGGTGGACCGGGGCCGCTTGACTCCCTGCCACCTCCATCTTCACCCACGGGCCCAGCGCCCCCACATCTCTGAGACTTGGTTGGCGCTGTCCGTCTCCATGGTGCAAGATGGCCAAAAGGGCTGAACTGGACACCGCGCTGTGGTAGGACGGCTTGCGCAAACTGAGCAAGATTGTTGGCTGAGTTGATGAAACGGTAAGTATTTGTAAAAAAGACTCCCTCGGTTGCTGTGTTTGGCGTGCTGTTGTTCCCAAAGATGGTCAAAGCTTCAAGGCTTCAAGGCGTGTGCCAAGATGAGTTCGTCACTGGAGACCTTGAACTTGGTCAGGCCACGGCGCGCGAACAAAGCCAGTCGTGAGAAGACGGTGCAGACACGTGCGCGGGGAGCTGGAGGAAGGCAGGCGCAGCGACCAAGGTTTCGAACGGCGCTTGCTGCTTCCGGGATGTGGCCTGAGAACTGACATCTTAGCGCAGGAAGCCTCTGCCTGGATGTGGCGTGAGAGCTGGTAACTTTGTAGTCCAAATGTAGCGCCGGAAGCAGTTTCTGGGGGCTGTGGCCTCAGAACCGGTAACTTTATAGCGCTGTAGTGTAAATGTAGTGTGGGAAGCAGCTTGTCGAAGCTATGGCATTTGGAAACGAAACGGCCGCGTCCGCATGCGTGTGTAAACGCTGTGTGTCACGGAGGAGCGAGAGGATCCAGGATCGGCGATGTTCACAGTGCTACATTGCTGTATCAAGTCTATGACGCACCGTGCGGCGAAAGTGCGTCTGTGATGTCGCTGTGCCATGCGGTTTTGCGCGGCCTCATGCGCGCGCGTCTCGCTAGGGAGCGGGATGATTCCATGATTGAAATCTTCGTGGGCCCATATGGGTGCCTTTTCTAGCGCCTGGCACCCTGCCATACGGTGCCTTTTCGCAGCACTGCTGACTTGCTACTTTCGATCCGCCCTACTTTACCTTTCTGCTTGCCTACTGCGGGAACAGAAGTTGATTGCAGCGTGCTGCGAGGCTTGTCTCATTACGCTGACCCGACGAGAAAAGTGGTGCTACAAACGCTTGTTTCACAGATTGCTTTCTGAAGATCATCATCACCATCCTCATTGCCCTCATCCTCACCATTGCATTCTGTCCTCGCCTGCTGTGCTTTCGGGCCACTCTGTCGTCTAATTTTCTCTACCGCCTTCCCCTGCAGGCTTTGACTTGCTCGATCGACTTGAACCCAAGCGACTCATGGACCGACAATTGTTTCTCAACTTTGAGAGAACCAGTTTGCGCTTTAGCACTTGCTTGCTGTTTGTAGTTTTTCCCTCTTGGGCTCAGCCTTTTGTTGTCACGCATGTTTCACCCAGGCAGTGCTGAACTTGAAGTGGGTGAGTCTTGTATTCAGAGCTGTCGAAAGGGCTATATGCAAAATGGGTCGGCTGAGAGCATCTTGTGCAATTCGGATCTCACAGTTGGGGGAAGACGCCCCCAATGCCAAAGTGTGGTGTGTGACACAGAGCAGTTGAACGGCCAATTCCAATTTTTGCAGCATTCTTGCGACGGTGCAGGGCTCAGTTTTCTACGAATTTATCAACAGTTCGGGTTTGTGTGTGTGTACACTGGAGGCACAGGTCTCTGTGGAGTTTGACGCTAATTTTGTTTTGATATAAAATGTAGGGGGCAATAATTATGCAATAATTAACGCACCCATGAGTCTACTGCCAAGGCGTCCACAGCTTGCCATTTTGTTGGACCGTTTGAACCATTTGGAAACGTTTGAAACTTCCGGCGCGTTTGAATTTTCATGGGCGGACGCCGCTAAACCTTGTACCTTATTTTCTTAGGCCTCCTTGGTTACTTAGGTTCCTGCAGGGCAACCGCGCTTGGTTGTAGGCATTCGTGTTTTGAGAGTGTGTGCGTGCGCCGGTCGCTACGTATGTCACCGCTTGAGTTTTGGGTTTCATTGGTTGATGAAGTTTTCCCTTGCCATGTTGAACCAAATTGTAATGTCATGCGTGGGCGCAGGGGGTGTTGTGTTGCGTGTCCAACAAAGCTGGCCCTGGAGGCCAAGTCCAGCGTACTTGCACGTTCTAAATTCTAACGTTGAAACCTTTTTGACTCTTGATTCTTACTTATGCCGCTGGGCTCACGGGACGCAGGTCTCCACTGCAGCAATGTGAACCACATGTGTAGAACAGCAGGGCATGGACTCAGGAGGTTATCGCCCATACCCAGCTCTCCCTGACTAACTTTGCACAGCGCGCGCGCGCTCGCGTGTGGGTGAAGGATGGAAGCGCTAGTCTTGGCTTAGAGATGCGTTTCCCTCGCCCTTTCCAAGGTGTAACTGCAGACCGAAGCTGCTTTGCGTTCTGCCGTGTGGGTTTCGTTGCTGAACAAGGTGCTGTTGAATGGATTTGCGCTGACGGTGGAAGCGCTGCCTTGACTGAGCCAGTCAACGGATTCGCTTTGCGAGGGGTCATTCCTTCTTGTGTGGCGCAGGTCTGCAACTTGTCTTGTCTAAACAAACATGGACATCAGCTGAATCTGCATACATAGTACATATTGTGCCTTGTAGTGGTTGAGTTTTTGCCGAGGCAAATACAACATTCCGGCAGGAGACCCAAGCATCTCCCACAATTGCACAAATGTTTCAACGGACGAAACCTGCATTGTCTCTTGCGCTGATGGATGGCTTCCAAGAAGCCCTGAGACAGGCTTTGAGACAATGTACACATGCGGTAGTGATCGCGTGCTGAATGGGAAACCGTTGTCATGCACAAAGGGGACAACCTCGGTCGCTTCAGTTGCATTATCCACTACCAGGACGACCACAACGACGTGGACGGTCTTCTTGCGGGGAGCTGTGAAACTACAGCCACTCCAGAAGTGGCCGCTCACATTCAAACATAACTACTTGCTTCAATACTTCGTCTCTGACCCAGATGTCAAACCAGCTCTCGCCACAGCCATTGCCTCCGCCCTCAATGTCAGTGTTCATTCTATTGAGTTGAACGTCACCATTTTAGCTGCTGATATAAGAAATGCAGGACGCCGTCTCAGCGAAAATGACACGAAAGACATGATCTTGGTTGAATATGCTTGTAGCCGTTCTTTCCCGTCGCTGGCTCTTGCAACGGACTGGGCAAGCCGAGAAATCTCGCTGGAGGAAGTGGAGGCTTCGATCAATGAGAACTTGGCCAGCGGGCTTTTTCAAGCTCAGGTTCTTGGTTTTGAACTTGAGATTAGTGGGCTGCCAGTGGTTTCAGAGCCTTCCGAACCAAGCGCTCTTTGGGTCTTGCCGTTTGCCGCCTTGCTTTTTCTTTGCTTCAGCTTCGTCGTTGGCTCGCTTTGCTACGCCCACTTGTGCCGTGGGAAAGAAGCGGCAGCAGCGACTGCAATTGATGAGGAACAAGGAAAAACAACCCTGACAGAAGAGAATGGTAATGCTAACGCAGGGGCCATAGTGGTCCTGGAGGCAGCCCAGGTGGGCGAAGTTCGAGCGGGCGAGGCGCGTGTTGTTTTTTGGGGGCGTGTTTTGCTACTTCGAGTTGAGGGTTTTGGTGTTCTTTTCTTTGCTGTTGGAGGTGGCTGCTGTGGTTACAGAAGACTTGGAAGTCATGTTGCAGGAGGTGGGTGTTGGCTTCGATGGCAGCAGCGAGTCCGATGAGGACGGCTGAGAATTGGTTGGTTGGAGATGAAGTGCTTTTGTTTTCCAGTGTAATAACCCTGTAGATCTCAGACACGAGGGCTTTTGCATCACGAGGAGCTGAATGAAGTGGTTGAAGCAGCAATGGACGGCCTTGGCTTCGTTGACTGAAGGCAAGTGGCTCATTAGTCGATATTTGAATTTGGGACGTGTGCCTCCATAGGAGGTTGTATGGTTCCAGGTTTCTGATTCTAGATGCTGAGCCTGCACAGCGGGCGTTGCGCAGTTTGTGGCTGAGGGAATGGCTCTTTATTGACTCTAGTGTCTCTAGTGAATGGTCTCGCTGGTGCCGTCAGGGAACTGCACATCTTTTACACGCGCCAGGTTTTTTCTATTTGCAAGTCCTCAAGCGCCAAGCTGCCACAGGTTTGACGGAGCAAAGTATCCATCTGGGGCAGATTGCCCGATGAGCAGTTTCGTCCAGCCAAGGTGCTGAAGAGGGCCCAAAGGCATGGCTGTTGACGGAGAAAGGTCACCCGCTACCGCCAACCTTTTCTTTCCCGGGCGTTCAAATGTTCCACAGTGAGGTGGCTTGCAACAACAAAGCCATGGGCTTTCAAACTCGTCTTGCAAAGGCAGGCGGCGCCTTCCATTTCCAGAATCCTTTTTGAGAGACTTGCATTTATTTTAGGCTTCCTCCGGTTCCCCACGGTGTTGTCATCTTAGTCTCTCGTGTGCTTCTCTTCCTGTGAAGCGTTCCCACGCAATAGCAATGTGATAGTCAGTGCATCGGGGCAAGAATTCAGGTTTGCCAGCAGTAGGCTAACACGTCCGCACACGTCCTTTCTGGGGCCGCCTTTGTTTTTGTCTCGGCCTGTTGCGGTGTTTGATCAGGATTTGCAGTTCAGCAATGTTGGGTGTGAACTGCGTATTGAAGGTCAATCCTCAATTCCTTACTTGCAGTTGGGCAGTTGTGTAGTGGATTCGGTTTTTGTTTCTGTGGTTTGTGGTGATCACGAAAGCTAGCAGCTAGTATATAACGTTCGAGAAACTAACACAATACACAAACAAAAATGCTATACGGCAAGAAGGGGTATGCCAGCAGATAGTGCAGAGTCGGGCCATGTTTGGCTATAGTGATATTCACTTTCTCTAGTTGTGACATGCCTTGAGCGATGCGTTTTTTCGAGTATTTGTAATGTAGTATTGTACATCTCAATCGCAATGGTGGCAACCGAAGTCCACAAAGCGTCCAAGCTGCAAAAGAAAGCGCACCTTTATGGCTGCAAGTGTCGAGGTTGTAACACGGTCGGTTCAAGGGCCCTTCGGACAGAGATGCGACGGAAGTCGCAAGTGGAAAACATGACACCTCATGACAGGTGTTCAGCAAAATGCATTCGCATGTTGACATAGGCCAAAGCTTTATGGCCTCGAAAAACACTCAAAATTCAAGCCCTTCTAAGACCTGTTCAGGTCGCTTCGAAACTCCCATGCTCCGCAAGCATGGTCAGGCAGGACGTTGGCCGTCCTGGTTGGCAGAGTGGTGTCCTGGTCGAAACTCAACTTCGTTTGGACCATCTTGTCCTTGATCTCACCCTTTTCATTCAGGAACTGAAGGCGGTTGATCTGCTCGAGGGATTCAATGCGAGCCCTCTGCCTCACAATGCGCTGATTGCAGTCAGCGAGGAAGCAGATGTTGTCATTCCACATCCGGTGCCATTGGCGCACCTGATCATCCGAGAAGCTCTGAGTTCGAGCTGTTTTCAAAAGCTCTCTGAATTTCCGCCAGCGCTGGGTCGTGTAGCCCTCGGTGGTCAGGATGAGGCGTGTCTGACTGTCCAAGGCGCTGTTCTCATCATTCAAATCTCTCAACAACTTCCTCCAAGCGCTGGAGCTGGGTTCATCTTCAACTTCTTTGAGAAGCTTTTTCCATCGGTTGTACTCCTCATCTTCAAGCTCGCTGTCGGAGTTGCAAGTCGAACTGCCGGTGTCAATGCCCGGTCGGTAGTCGATGCCTGGTCGTCTTGAGAGTGCCAGGATTTGTTCCATTACCTCTTCACGATGTTGAGGCAAGGTGCAAGTTCGGTCATTGGTCTCGACCGTTTCTTCTTTTTCATTCTCTTCATTCTTCTTCCACAGAACCATAGCCTTCTCGAGGAATAGATTGTAGATCTTGTAGGTCATGTGCTCCAGGCCAATGCATGCAAAGAAAACCAAAACACCAACAGTCAGTGAGCCAAAAGCGAGTGCCGAAGCTGGACTCAGGGATGTGCTCATAGTTCTCGGTAGGGCTTCCTTCAGCAACGGGCATTTCATTGGCGATCAAACAAGTTACAGCCGACATGGCTGCAGTTCTCCAAGCATCATGCCTTTGACCTTGTCGATGGGCATGAAGGTAGAAGTGGCGCCTGGAGCAGAACTTATTCTTTGGATTGGAGGCATCACATGTTTTCTCACAACCAGGAAGGGCGCAAAGGTTTCCATCTTTCTCCTCCAGCGTGAAGATCTGGTTTTCGAAGATGTTTTTCGATGCCTCTTCGTGCTCTTTTCTCTCAGCTTCTTTCTCCTCGTAGGTGACCTTCTTGGCGGCGATGAAGTCCGGCTCAAAGCTTAACTTGTGAGTTCCTCGGTTCAAGACATAGGCAAGGTTGTCTTTTGCTGCAGGCTTTGTCAAACCATCAGCTATTTGTTGTTGTGAGTTCACCCAAAACCATCGTCCATCAAGAGCTGCCATTCGATCCCTCACTATAGCAACTTCGATTGCAGTGCGGCGTTCACTCAACTTCATGCCAGGGGTGATGCTTCGCGACAAGGATCGAGCATCAGTGGCAAGTGGAGACGTGCCAAACTTCCTGAGGGCCTCAGTTGAACCAATGTCCAAGGTGGGGTCCACAACGCAAGCCATGAAGATCTTGCTCCATTCAAGCTCATCAACAGCTGCTGCGGCAGCCTGGGCTTCAGCAGACAAAGAAGACCTGCAAATGCGCTGCAACTTCTTGGACTGCCACTGGAGTACTGTCAGCGGCGTTGGTTTTTCTGAGCTCAACTCTTCAAGGTTGCACAGGAAGACCAGCAGACCTCCCTGTGACGTTCCATCAGGGCGAACTGCCCACGCAGCATCGGTGTAGGCACCAATGCGCAGCGAAGAGATGTCGCCGTGGGCGTGGAAGGTCATCTTGTACTCCTTGGTCACATTCTTTGCAAACCTCAGCAGTTTGTTGGCCTCATTGACGTCCTTGATCAAAGGGCTGCTGGATGCTGACTGCAAGATGCTGACACTGGCACAAAGTTGTGGTACACATTGATGAGCTGGCCAAGCAAGTGCGCCTAACAGTGCACGAAGTTGTTTGTGCTCTTTGTCAGTGCAAGCATCGTTGACCATTGTTTTCCGTGACTTATCCAAGCAAATCGGCTTCACCTTCTGGCAGTATTGCTCGAGGGAAATCTGGATGGTTTCGTGGTTCAAACTCTGGACCACGTCGGCTCCACAGAACTTCACTCCAAGACTCGAGCCAAAGTCCCAGCTGCCAAACTTGAATCGACGGGAAAGCTTTTGAAGGCGGCCAACAAAGGTGTTCTCATCATATTCAAACTCACCTGTGATGTCATTCAAAGTCGTGACACCTTCTCCAGCACCAATGAAGTCATCCACATGGAGGCCTAGAATGCCATCAACAATGCAATGCGTTCCATTGTATTCGAAGACGCAGAAGGGGTCATCACCATCGGCAGCTTGTCGCAAAGAAAGATACACACAGCGATCGAGGGGGTGTGCAGTCAAGTTCAACTCATGCAGTAAGTACTCGTTTGCTGTGTTATTCCATTGCCGTGGTGCACGAACATCTCCAAAAGCTGGTTTGCAGGCTTTCATAATCTGCCATGGCTTGAGGTCAATCTTTTTCTCGAGCAAGCGACGCATGTCAGCTGAAGGTCGGATATAGATTCTCGTGGTTGCATCAATGCTATCCACCTGCATGAAGGCTGACTTCACATCGGCTGACCAAAGTTTCCATCGCTTGTGAGTTGCCATGACATAGATGGAATGTCGGCCAAGCATGGACAGAGTTGGAGATTCCCGCTCAAGCTCCTCATTGAGAACGTCCTTGTGCTTGAAGCCTTGGATGATGACTCGAGCATTCGCTTGTGGCCCTTCTTTTATCGGCTTCCAACGTTGCAGGAACCTGGCAGGGATCACTTCACCATCATGGGCCTCGTCCTCATTGACAGGTCGCCAAGCATCATGATCAAACCAGACCTGCAATGCTTTGCATCGAGCCTCCTCGAACAACTGCTTTTCTGCAGGTGTGAGTTTCTTTTCGCTGAAGGCTTCAGCAACCAGGCTCTCATCAGCATTCATTTCATTGAAGCGGTTCTGGAATGAGCGGTCATCCTCACCAACTGCAGGCAGGCCGTCCAGGGTGCGTGCATCGTTGTAGGACTTCCAAGCGCTCTGCCTCAAGTTCTCGAAAGAGGCTGCGCGTTCATCTCTGGGTATGGGACTCCTCGATCTTGCCCTGTTTTCTCTTCTTTCTCCTGCTGTCGCTGTGATTTGTGTTTCTGCAGCGGCGGCTGTTTGTGTGTCTGCAGCTGCCGTGACGGGTGTGTGTGTGTGGTTCTGTATCTGCAGCGGCGGCTGTTTGTGCTGCAGCTGCTTGTTGATCCTGTTCTGTCGTTTCTCCCATTCGTCCGGTCATGCTGTCATCTTCTTTCGGCTCAAGCGGCTCATTCGCCAGTGGTGGAGGTGAGGTCGCTGACAACAGTGGCGCCTTTGCATTCGAAAAGGTGGGACCGGGGGCAAGATCTAAAAATCTGACAGGACCCTGCACAGGGATCAAGGAATTGCGGACTCGGTCACAAACAGGCTGACGGAGAGCAGTGTCCGGCATGGATTCCAAACGGGCTAAGCGCTCAGCAGGCACTTCAGCGCGGACATGCTCAGGGGCACAGCGAACCAAGCTACTTCCATGGGCCAACCAGTAGACATGAGGTCGTAGAACGCCATCCTCAGTGGCGCGAGGCTCGATTGCGCACACAAGTCCAGGTCCACGCCAGCGATGAGCGTCAAGCTTGGTCTCGGGAGATCTCCAGTAGAATGCATAGTCTCCCAACTGAAGAGGTGCAAGCTCAGGTCGGGAGCGAGACAGAATGGAGCGCTTGAGGAGTGCATCATG